GGTGTTTTTGCTTTGTTTTTCTTAATCTCTTTGTTTCTCTACCCCGAAAGAGTCAGCATGTAAATGACACAGGGCTTGGAGTGTTAACAGCAGAGTATAGGGCACTGAAGAAAATTTGGGATTTGCTGAACTTTATGATTGTTTTGTTTCTTTTGAAGAATGATTTTTGCTATTTATATATAGGGACTCATTTCCTCATCTTGTCTAATGGCAAATTACAATAGTGAGACTAACAAAATTTAAAACCAACAGAGCATTTTTATCCTAAAATTGTATTGCCCTTATAGTTTTAATATTTCAAAATACCATTAAGAGTTAATCTGTTCAAAGGACTTTTAGGGTGGTAAGACTGTTAAGTAATGGTAATATAAAAAATTCATAGAACAAACAAATAAACTTGAACTAGGAACTTCAGCTAATTATGTATTAACAACAATCACTAATTGTAAACAAATGTACTACACAAAGGTAAGTGTTAATAATAGGGGTAAAGTGAGGTGTCTGAGGAAGAGGGGAGGTGACCATGGGTTAGGTAAAACCCAATTATTCTGCAAATCTAAAACTGTAGTTTAAAAAATAATATCTATTAATCATTGAAAATATTTCTTTAAATATTGTTTGACATTGTTTGATTTCTGCCCTGAGGAGGCCTCCCTGAAGTACTCCCACTACCATAAAACTGGTGGTCTCTCTTCCCCTCCCCTGATCTCTGCCTCAGCTCTATGGCCAGCTTCCAAGTTTTGTCTTTTTCCTGATTCCATGCTGGGTTTCCCTATATTCTACCTTTAAGTGAAACTATCTGATATTTTCCTTCTGACTTATTTTGCTTAGCATAATCCTTTCTAGTTCCACCCATGTTGCTGTAAATGGTATTTGTTTTATCTCTTTTGATTGCTGAGTAATATTCCACTGTGTTGATGTACCACATCTTCTTGACCTAGTCATCTCTGGGGTATTTAGTTCGTTTCCATATCTTAGTTATTGGAAATAGTGCTGCAATATTTAGGAATATTTAGGAATGCAGGTATCCTTTTGGATCAGTGTTTTTTGGGTAAATTGTTAGGAATGGAATTGTTGGATCATATGGTAGATTCATTTTTAGTGTTTTGAGGAACCTCCAGACAGCTTTCCTTAATAACTGGACCAGTTTGTATTCCCGCCAGCAGTGTAAGAGTTTTCCTTTTAAAAAAGTATTTTTAAAGACACTAAAAGCTAACCTGATGTTTTAAGGCAGTCATTATGTGAAAAAGGACAAGGAAAAGAGGAAGTTGAAATGACTTATAGGGTTAACCTTACGAACTTTTGAATTGTAGTGCGTTTCTGAAGCCTTATATAAGGACAAGAACATAGAATTTGATACATATGAATAAAACAAAGCAGAAAAAAACTGACGAGTGATCAAAACACTAATTATATTGGACAAAAATGCTAAGTGTGTCAGATTCACTTCTTTTTAATGTTTCCAGACACCTTAAAGTTTTCCATGAAAATCATCACGTTAGAACAGCGCTGGGGTCTGGGTCTGGAGGTGGGCAGAGAGTTAAAGGGGGCGCTGTGGACTTTGCCCTCCACCTCTGCAACATTGACAACTAACTTCAAACTCCTGGCCTGCAGTGAACTACATTTTGTTTTTGAAGGACTGATGTTGAGGCGGCCATTAGTGTGTATCAAGTAGAGAACGAGAAAAGCAGGCAGATTTTGGTCCCTTCTATTCCACTTGGAAGTTTCTCTGTGGGGAGTGAAGACCTCAGAGGGGTTCCTACCACTCGGGGGGGGGGGGGCTTGCTACTCTCCCCTTGGAGCCTGCTTTTTGATTGCAGGGAAACCAGCCATAATCGCTGGCGGGAAGGATCCCTATAGCTCAAACCTTTGGCTAACACATTCTAGCACAACACTTTATCCTGCTTCTTTTGAACTTCTATATGTTTGCCCTATTGTTCTGTATTCTATACTTTGCTACACCCAATAGTTTCCTTATGATTATTACCTCTATATTTCCCAGGTACCTTTTGCAATTTCTATGAGATATCCTATTGAGATAATTGGCATTAATACTAAATTTTTATGTCAATTTAGAAAGGTTAGTCATCTTTTCTGTCTTAAACCTAACAACCTAGAAAAAGAATCTATTTTCCCTTATTGAAATTATCTTTTATTGCTGCCATTAGTTTTATAATTCCATTTATATAACTTTTTTCACCCTCACCAATTATTTGTTATTGTGTTGCTTTTGAAAAAATGCATGCTGTTTTTTTCAAGAAACAAAAAGTTTGAGCTTTATTTTTTATCATCTGAGACATTATTTACAAACTAATATTTTTTGTGATTCTCAAATTTTTTAAAATTTATTTATTTGTGCATACAGAACTGGGGTACAGGGCAGAGGCTCAGGGGCGGTAAGAGGATTCACCAGAGACACTGGGGAGCAGAACAGACCCACTGATGAAGTACACTGCTGAGGGGAGCAGTGGGCGGGTCAGGAGAGGTCTGTCGTGCTATGTGGTCACCTCCAGGGCAGGCGGGGATCAACTCTGGGTAAGTGGTAGCTTCTTAGTGCAGTGCTTTAACCTGCTGCACCACCAGGGAGGGCCTGATTCTCAATTTTTTTTTTTTT